TTGGTTCTTTGATTCGTCTATGGTGACATTCAAACAATAGGTTGTCGTGTTTGGTCAGTGACGAGATCGATCGCTTATATGCACTCAAGACAGCGTCCACCATCTTGTTTAGATATCGCGCTGCGATCGTCGCTCGAGATTGGCCACAACTCCGTCCTATGCAATGTACGTGTGAGTGATTGGCGGGGCAATCTCTACGTAATGTCTTGGCAATCTGTGAGTTGTTTGTGATGAATCCAGTGCGCTTGCGGATTGGACTTCCTTGTGCATCGGACTGGCCAAAGACACACTGATCAGTTCGAATCAGCATGGCTCCTGGAGAGTTCAACAGTTTTGCAACGCACTTCTGCTGCCATGACTTGGCAGACCATGGATGTTCAAACAGATAACAACCTCCGTGTTGCTGTTGCACATGACAAACAAGCGTACCGAACGTTAGAAGAGTCATTGCTTCTTTCCACTTCTTTGCGAAGACAGGGTCAGCTAAACATTGCTGATGATTCCTACCAAGTGCCAAATACTGAAGCATGCTAAACATGTGGCATGGCACGGAAACCGCAACAAAGCCGTACTTGTTATCTTGCAAATGTTTCAAACAGTCCCTGCGTTCACATGAGGAAAGGAAGTTGTCTCCTAACTTCAAATCATACGCACGTCCGGCTTGCAATCCATGTCTTGAAGCACGATCGGTGACTCGCGGTGAGCTGAACACTTCGCCAATCAAATGCAGATGCAAAACACTCTGAACATCAGTAGGGTCAAGATGAACATATTCCTCAACAGAGTCTTGATTGTTCTCCCTACTGCTTTCTGTTGACTCTAGTTCGTCAATTCTAGCCTTGATCAATCCTAAGATTCGTTTTCGAACACCTGGGCGAAGTGTCTCCTCTTGCACGGCTGAACCTACTTCCGCCGATTCGGGCTCGGAGTGTCGTCCACTTGTGTGACCGTCACTTTGCCGGTCGAGTACTTGGTGACTTCCCTGCGGCCACAGATCTTGCAAGTGAGCATCTGCTGATGTCCATTTGTTCCCTTGCGGCTCCAGTCGTGCTGACATGGAGGCCGGCGGGATGGGTACCCAGCTGCCTTTGACTCTGGCATCAGCTCTGAGTCGCTGCTTGACGTCGAACTGGAGCTGCTGATAGATCTGCTCTGCTTGCTTGAGCTGGCCTTCGATTTGGTCTTTTCGTTCCTGCCCGGTCCAGTTGGCATCTCTCGCTCTCGAAAGAGCTTTTGGTGTTGAGTCGATTTCGGAGGCTCGATCCATTGAAAGAATTGGCATTGCTTTCCAATCTGCTTTGGACAACGGTTGAACTGCCGGAGGAAGTTTGCTCCAGCTGTGCGACTCACATAAGTGGTCACGGGGAGTCCGCAAAAGCAATGGTTCAATGGCAGTCCCTGAGCTTCGTCCTCTGGATTCATGTCCTCCAGTGGAACTCCACTGGGCATCTGCTCTTTCTTGTCGGACCGATTCTTCTTTTCCTTCTTGCTCTTGTCTTTGAACTGCATGGATGGACTGGTGTCTTCCACCAAGAGGAAGCTGTGACTCGACTTGGAGGAGCGGCTCATCTGTTCGGACTTCATGAGTGCGTGCTGAAGTTCCTCGCGTCGCTCCTGTCGTCGACGGCGACGCTCCAGCTTCTCCTGTTTCTGAATTTCCTTTTTTCTCGTCCACCAAGGTCTGAATCACAGCCATCGTGTCTTCGAGAGCCTGAATCTCTTCTTCTGGATCTTGAGTCTCGATCATGAACGAACGAATCAGAATGCTCATAAGAGGCATCATCAGCCCCATTACAACTTGGCACATTGCTTGGCAGTGTGTGCGAATCTGGAGGCGACTGAACATCCTTGACCAGTCGCTGACTCGCTTGGGCTCCTGCGGATGAGCTGATGCCGGACAACTTCTCTTCCGGCTCTCGTCCATCTGCGCAGTCGAGATCGAAAGTGGAAGCGAAATCGGCACTGTGCTTTGAACCGCAATTCTCACTGGGGATCTCTGGTTCACATCGTGATGCATCTATTTCACACTCAATACTCTCTCTGGCAACTCCGTGAAAAGAACGAAGGACTGGATATTTTCCTAAGACATCTTGGCAATGCAAACCCTCGGCATTAACACTGTGATGTTTCCTGTGCGTTTTGTCCATCTCGCTCAATGTGTGTGCACGGTATTGAGGTGACTCTTCATGGCAAAATGCTTGCAGAAATATGGTGCACTCATCTCCGATCAGCTTTTTGGGCTTCCAGGTGCATGCCCGGTCTTGCGGTATTTGGTCGAATTGGAAAAGGGACACACAGAGCTGACCACGGTGGTTATAGTGGAGTCTAACTGTCTCCTGAATGGCCTTGCATTCTAGGCTTGCGCTTCCCAGGCACACTTGAGCATCTAATGCCTTTAGGATTGGAAGTGAAAGCAGTAGGGGCGCTTCGGCTGGTTCATGAAGAACAGCTGCACGAATGACTGCAGGTCTGCTACCTAAACAAATGGGAATCACAGCTACTTCATGAGTACGAGTCAACCCTCCAACACCTTTGAACACAAAACTTTGTGATTCAAACCTCACCTGCATGCCCTGGGGAAGTTGCTCCTGGATCATCTGCAACGTGCGAGATCCTACCGCAGCTCTTTGACATCCGGTGTCCAACACACAAAAGTTGGCAACTTGTTCCATTGCCTGCTGGAAAAGAACTGGCTTCACAGTCGAATCCCGATTGGACTGCTCGACACTACGCTCTAGTCTTTTAGGCTCAAGGGGTACCAACCTTTGAGAGTGCTGCTGAATTACGTGTCGTCTAAGCAAAATGCTTCTCATTTGTGGAAAAAATTGTTTGAACCCTTTGTCCCTGCGTGTTGAGTCTCCTACGCAAGCAGTCCATACGGACAAAGGGCGTGCTTCCTATTCATGTGCGCGCGACGAGGTGGCTCCCTGTTCATGTTCTACTGCTTCAACTAGGGACCACCACCCTTGTCTGGGCTCATTCTTTGTACTGGGACCCTGGGTTCCAACTGAAGAGGATGCGTTCGACGTCTTTGGGTGGGGACACTCTTTGTGCCAATGGCCAACAGCACCACAATTACGACACTTGGTGATTTGTTTCAACTGTTGGATGTCACGTCTCACAATTCCACCCTGGTGACGTCCCTCGGAACCGGTGTTCACCGAACGAAATCCTCGACTGTTGCGAAGATCTTGCTTGGTCTGCTGCACTTGCCGATAGCTATACTGAGCTGGACGGGCAATCTTCTGTCGAATCAATGTCATCAAGACATCTTTTGCCTCGTCCTCAGTGATGACAGCAGTAGGATCCTCTGAGTCAAGATCCTGAAGAGCATCTTCGATTACATGAAACTCGTCATCTACATCAGCCTCTTGTACATGTTCGGCTGCTGTGTGTTCTTGATCCTGCAGCCAGACATGACGCTTTTTGTCATCATCGGGGTCGAGAAGTCTCATCTTGAGTTTCCTCATGCCGTCAATGACTGCTTCCAGCTTGAGGCTGCCTCCTGTTAAAGTCACGAGTCTTTCCATGGTCTCTTCATCTACCTTGGCTTGCTTCAGAAAAAGGAATCCCAGTGCTTCTGAGGGCAGTTCAACTTTGTGTTTCTGCACTTTCCTGACCGCCTCTTCAAAGCGTGTCCGGAATGCAGCAAGGTCATCATCACTACGCCTAAGTGCAGAGTAGAACAGCTTGGTCATGGCGCTCCAGAGAGATTCCAATTCCTCCTTTCCAAAACATTCGGGTCTGGACAAATATCGGATCAGCTCCATGCCATTATCCGGGGATCCACACCAGTTGTCATCTTCAATCAGGTGCTTTGCAGCTTCGAAAGCTTTTCCGGTAAGAGCTTGCAGCATCCTCGGACCTCGTGCTATTGGATCTAGATTGGTGGTATGCAGCCAGAGCTTCGCTCTGAGCCTATACTCTTCGAATGCTCCTGTTGCCCGGCTACCATCATAGCTAGGAGGAGGACCTGTCGACCCTTTGCTTCGGTGTTCGGACGCTCCAGTTCCAGTGGTCTGTGGTCTAGAACTCGACTGCGACTCCTCTTCTTCCTCTTCTTCACCCCATTCATTGGCTTCTAGGCCCTGAAAACCTGGGCGCCATTGGCGCTGATGACGTTGACTTGTCATCCAACTGCTAGTGCAGGACT